ATTCCATTTCCTTTTTTTTTTTTAAATTGGGAGTTCTTTTAAATTAGTTCCTGTGTCCTTTTGACATGCCCCATTTAAAAAAAAAAAAAAGTATCTCCCTACTTTCTGGCACTACTATTAGCTTCAGGAACATCTTACATTTTTCTTGCTGCAGCCCTACAATCAACCATGTCTTGGCCCTAGTTGCTTTTATCAGAGAAGAGTGTTTAGAAACTAAAATATGAGCACTAGTTGTGCTTGTTCCTACCGGAGTGTCATGCTTCTAGGTACTTTCAGTAGAAAGATCTTAGAAGTATATGTATACATACTAACCTCTGTGTACACAAATATCTATCTTATTTCTGTATCCATATATATATATATATATATAAGTATTATATAATACAATAAGTATTCATATTGATCTAACTCCAGTTCAACATAAAAAGATTTATTTTAGCCTTTTCTTATCTCCTTCCTACCTCCAAACCCACTTGTTTATTTGTAATTTATTTTCTGACAGTGAAAAACCTGATTTATCTATAAATATGTATTCTGTGAGAAATTTACCAAATAGAGTACAGTGTTTGTGTATAGTTTTGTCTTTAGTCTTAAATTATCTAGACAAAGCACTATTTTCCAAAGTTAAAGTTATTTAGATTTGCTCCATTCTCCCCCACTCCTTGCAGGTAAAGTATGTCTTAGTTTGTAATATAGTTAGATTTATTTGTCCACAGTCTATATGCCATCTTGGAGTTTACTCAAGGGATTTTGCATACACTATTGTCATTGTTTGTCAAATATAGTTCTATGGGTTTGACAAATGCATAGGGCCATGTATTCACCACCAGAAAACCATATACCCTAAAACTTCTCTGTATCCCCTTTGTATTTGGCCTATCCTTCTACCTCAAACCCTCAAAAACACTGATCTGTTTGTCCATATAATTGTGCCTTTTTTAAAATATCCCTAAATGGAACCAAATAATATATAGCCTTTGGATCTGGCTTTTTTCCCTTAGCACAATGCATTTCAGATTAATCTATATTGTTACAGGAATCAACAAGCAAATTTTAAAGAGACTATACAACTTCATTATAATAGTGGTAGAGATGACTCATATTTGAACCATGACAATTACGTCTTTAGGTTTAAAGTAAATTATAGTTCCAATTAGGCAAATCTGCATATAAGGTAACCAAACAGTGCACAATAAATTGATAATGTTGAAGCAAAACTATTAATAGTTTGCAAATAAAAGCAAAAATAACAGCCTTTGAAACCATGACCAATAGAAAATATAGTGATGATATATTAATAATAGAATCTTCTTGAACATTACTGGCATTACAAATATTTGCTTAAAGTCATGTGAAATAGGTGCTCTGCAGAGATGCCAAGCATTGAGTGTGTGTCATTATCATGAATGTGGAATTAAGACTCCTTAGAAAACTCTTAATAATGTTCATGACTACCTATTTCTAATAATCCTTATTAATTTCAAGTATATTACTAGTAAGTTGCTTTAAGTCTTAGGCAAAAATAAAGTCTATTGCTTGTTATTTGTTCATCAGAACCAAAGAAAGAACTCATTTTTAGATAAATATAGTCCATCAGAGAATCCTCATTGTATATTGATGAACCTCAAACATACTTTTAGAATCACTGAATTGATGGTTAGATTGTATTTCCTAATTCCAAAATGACACTTTCACACTTTATAACACTTTTAACTAAGCATATACTCAATGCTTGACAATAAGTTTGTGAATGTTTTTTCATTTTTTAATTTTCCCATGGAAATCGCTTAAGAGATTACCATTCAAGGGGCTAGGAAACTGCATAAAACTTTTATTTAACTGTATTTTCAAGTCAGTCTCATTAAAAATATTATCCTTGCATTTCAGGTGATTTCTCAGCACACACGAGAGCTACTGGGAATTGAAGAGCCATTATTTAGCCGCTCCATCAGGCTTCCCCCTCGGGACAACATTGGCCTATTTTTAGAGCAAAAAGGTCATACTGGGGTAAAATCTGACTCCTTGACCTTCTCTGAATTTGTCAAAACAAGAAGATTATGTGATTATGATCCAGAAATAACTGCCTCTGAAGAGAATTAAGGCTGTTAACATTGTACGTAACTATAGAAGAAAGGTATTTCACTCACATTGAAAGATCAGACATAATTACTTAGGAGAAGAGGTGTGGCCTTTTTTATTTTTCTTCTCTTCTTTTTCATTAAGGATCAGAGTCTGAACTGCTGGCTCCATTCCTAGGTCTTCTGTGATTCCCAGCACCTTCCCTTTATTTGTGTTTCAATTTAGCCCCTCCTTAAAACAAAGATAGCAATTCTTCTTGGATAATTGTAAGAATTCCTGATACATTCTAATAATACACCTGGGTATTAGGAACATGCTGGAGGAACTATAACTAAAAATAAAATCTGCCAGCCCAGATAATCCTTTCCATGAATGTAGAAAAGAAGCCATTTTAGTACTGAATAAGCATAGGCAAGCTGTCAAAGATATTGCAAAGTCAAAAATAACTCACTCTTTAAGTCAACAAGACAGATTATAATCTATTACATGCATGTTAATTATCCATATCTAATGGAAAAATAAAAATTCTCATATCTTGATCACAAATAGGAAGTTACTACTTGGAGCCAGGCCCCCAGGTTAACCTCCCACAGAGAAAGGAGATAGTTCACCACCGGTCTCAATACACAGACATTTCAAAAAAGACGGCTCCAAGGCCTCCAAAAGAACTCTCCTGGAGTATAAAACTGGCAAGAGGGTTATTTACCTTTTTAAAAGATTTACATATATCTTCAAAACAAAGGATTTGCAATCGTGTTTTCTAAAGGAAATACCTTAGGAAAGATGATGGGGGAAGGTTTTCTTCCTATAGGCATCATAGAAAAAAAAAAGTAAGGTTTGTTTTTTGTTTTTTTAGATTTGTATAAATTCTTCTAAAACAACATGACTTACAGAAGTACCACTGACTATGAACAGGGTTTGGGGTTTATTTCAAGGTTCTTATATGTGGGAACTTCTAGATCTTTATAAAATGAAATTCAAGCTAGAATCCACTTATGACTAGACTTCTCAAAAGAAATTATTAAATAATTCTTGCCTGAATGATTCCTATTCCTTTCCAGTTTTTTTTATTAATTGCTCAAAACATTACAATGATCTTGACATATCATATATTATACATTTGATTCAAATGGGGTATGAATTCTTATTTTTCCCACGTGTACAGATTGCATGATCACATTGGTTATACAACTTCGTTTATACATACTGCCATACTAGTGTCTGTTGTATTCTGCTTCCTTTCCAGTTTTATAGACATATCTGCTCTTTCTCTCCTGATCTCACTTCTTAATCCTAAGAACCACCAAAGTGCTAATACTATTCAGAAAGGCAATGATATATTTTTTTATAGTTCTCTACATCTAAACAAATAGTAAAAGGAATATTTCTTTTTTTCCTACTGATATGAGAAACAGTGCCTCAAATTAACATGCATGCTAAACATTGATGTTTGATGATGAACCTAATTTTTCTCAAAATAAATTAAGAAATTTTATCAGAAACCATTCTAGAACCATACCTTTGGATTTGCCTGACTCACAGGTATACAAAAAATAAAAGTAAGCAAATAAGACCAAGGTGATTTTCATACATAGTAAATGGTTTTGCTAGAAGCACTTTAGCATTTGGGAAAAAGGAGTTCTGTTTAGTAATAGAATATAGTAGGTGAATCTTGATGATGTCACTCTTGTTGTTTTCAACTCTGTCATAATTTACAAAATGTATTGACCTAATAAAAATCTATTTGGAAACTATTGATATTGAGCCATACCATAAGGTTTATATAAAAAGCTCTGCATTGGTTTACTCTTAAAGGAAAAATATTTGGAGAAGACTAAGTTGGCTTGCAGGGAGAAGTTGGAACAACGGGCATCATTGGCAGACTGCATAACAATGAATTGATTCCTGCAGAAATAAAATTGTTGCTGTTCATTTTTGTCAAAAAAATAAAAATAATTGACAAAATGTATTTGTAAAACATAAAGGAAATAAACAAATTTGCACCAAAGAAATAAGATCTCAGTTATTTTTAGCCATTTAATATAAATGTGAGGTCTTTTGTTTTTGTTTATTGGTATTGGGGATCAAACCCAAGCCTCATACATGGTAAGTGTTCTTCCACTGAGCTATAGCCCTGCCAGTTATTTTTAAAATGGTTTTATGGTTTAAATGGTTCAAATAGAAACAATTTTAAATAAGATAGTATCAGAACAGTCAGATATAACTGAAATAAGCATGGATAAGTCATAATTTAAGATTGTTTACCAAGTTTTATGGCTTGAATGTGAAGTATCCTCTAAAAGTTCCTATGTTAATGCAGGAATATCCGAGGTGAAATGATCAGAGTATGGGAGCTGTGGCCTGATCAGTCCATCCTAGTTTGAATGGACTAGCTGGTTGTTAACTGTGGGTGGGTGGGGTGTGGTTGGGGGAGGTGGGTCACTGGGGGCATGCCCTAGAGAAGGATTCAGCTTCCCTGTGCCACTTGTCTCTGCTTCCTGGTTTCCATAAATGGAGTGACACTCCCCCACTATGCCCTTCCACCAAGATGATCTTTCTCACCTTGGGCCCAAAGCAATGGAGCCAGGCCACCATGGACTAAGTCTCTGAAACTGTGAGCCAAAATAAACTTTTGCTCTTCTAAATTGTTCTTGTCAGGTATTTTGGTTGCAGCAATGAAAAGCTGACTACTACAGAAGCATTACTACGGAAGTGATAGGAAAAATCAAGTTGTTTGCCACCTATATACTATTACAGGAAAAGAAACTGCAATATGTAATTGTCCAATAATGAATTTAGCTTTTAGAAAATTAATAATTTGCATTAACAAAGCTTTTTTGGGGAAGCAGTTTATATAAGTGTGTTAGGTTATATAGTTTGATTTGGTTGCTTCTGAAAGCTAGACATACCCAAGCATATTGTTATGTAGGATCTCTTGTTTTATTTTGCATTTGAAAGAGCCACTAGTACAATTTTCAAACAGGGATTGCAGTCACATAACTCCCCTATCAATTGTGATAATTAGGGCCTAACCATTGTAGAGCAATCTGTGATGGAAAAAAAAAAAAAATCCTGATTCCTGAGGTCACTTATTGGGATGGAGAGTCCAAGAGATCCACAAGCTCTTCTTCTTTCTTTGGAGCGATGCCAAATGAATCATAGTACAGGTAGGTCAGGTGGTCTTGGAGAACAGTATTGGTGGAGTGATACTGGCTAAAGGGAGTTTCCCTGAGTTGCACAGCAGTCAGATCAAACCAAGGAAAAGGCCTGGGGTGGGAAAAAATAGGTTATTTTTATTTAATGTCAGTATATTTTATTTGGCATTAAGCACATGACTGTGAGGAAAAAATTTCTAGACTTAAGGATTTCTCAACAGAAACTTCATATCTGAAAAGCAAACAAAACAAAACAAAAACCAGAGACTAAAAAATACAGAACAAAATATCCAAGGACTATGGAATAGCCACAAAAGATGGAATATACACATAATGATAATACTAGAAGGGGAAGAAAGAAAAGAACAGAATATTTGAAACAATAAGGACAGAATTTCCCCAACTAAATGTTAGATATCAAATTAGAGATCCAGGAAGCAATCTGAGAATACCAAGCAGGATAGTACCAATAAAATTTAAAAAATTCAAAACTAAATCTAGACATATTTTCAAACTTAAAAAAAAACCAGAAAATAAAGAAAAAAACTTAAAAAAACAGAATATAAAGAACAATTCCTAAAAAAGCCACAGGAGAAAATGCCTTACCTAGAGAAAGCAAGATAGAAATTGAACTGATGGTTCCCCAGGAACCATCCACACACAAAGATAAAGAAGTGAAGTAAGTGCCAAGGAAGAGAACAATGAGTAGGTCTCACTAGTGTTGACAGAAAAAACCACCCATCTAGAAGTCTGGGTCCTTCCAAAGTTAAAGAAATAAAGACTTCAACAAACAAAACAAGAATTGAGAGAATTTGTTGCCAGTAGAGTTGTCTTGCAAGGAATGTTCAAAGAAGGAAAATTATACTTGGATCTATGTAAAGAAAGGAAGAGCATTGAAGAAGGAATAGTGAAGGTAAAATGAAACCCTTCATTTTTCTTATTTTTAGTTGATCTAACAGATAACAATTTGTTCAAAATAATAGCAAGTCACGTGTGTGTGTGTGTGTGTGTGTGTGTGTGTGTGTGTGATGAAATGAGTGCCAGCAATGATACAGGAACTGGAGGGAAGAATCAGGATTATATTATTATAAAGTACTCATACTACCTGTGAAATGGCACAGTATTTAAATTTGTCCTTAAATTAGTTTAAATATCTAGTGCAAGGTTGTTCGTAAGGTTAACATACAAGTCAATCTTTTTCCCAGACAGCAGAATCTTGATCCATTTTCTGTCATTATAATCACATACTACAGACTCCCTAACTTGATTTATAGACTCAGTACAGTCCCATTCAAAATCTAAGCAAATTGTTTTATGTGTATTGGCAAATTAATTTTAAGGTTTATATGAAAGGTCAGACTCACAATAGCTAACTCAGTATCAATGGAAAACAAGTCAGAGAATCCATACCACCTGACTGAATACATATTATAAAACCACATAATCAAAATAGTTAATGATCAATGAGACAAATAGAGAACCTAGAAATAGATCCACATAAATATACGATATAGTTAGCTATTCTTAACAAAAGTCCAAAAGCAATACAATAGAGAAAATATGGTTTTCAATAAATGATGCTAGAACAATGAGACATACAGAAAAAGAAAATCTAGACATAGAACTTATACCCTTTACAAAAATTAATTCAAAATACATGATAGATATGGGACTGGGGCTGTAGCTCAGTGACAGAGTATTTGCCTAGCACATGTGAGACAATGGGTTCGATCCTTAATACCATATAAAAAAAATAAACAAAAATAAAGGCAAGATGTCCATCTACAACTAAAAAAATGTTTTTTTAAAAAATACATGATAGATTTAAGTGCAAAATACAGAACTACAAAATTCCTAAAAGAAAACAAGAAAAATTCAAATGGGTTTGGCATGACTTAAATTGTAACATGAAAGATATGATCCATGAAAGAAAGAATTGATAAACTGGATCTAATTAAAATTTAAAATTTCTGCTCTGAAATACACTGTCAAGAAAACAAACACAAGCCTGGAACTGCAGTGCACGCCCATAATCCCAGTGGCTCAGGAGACTTAGGCAGGAAAATCACAAGTTCAAAGCCACCCTCAGCAATAAAATTAAAAAATTTTTAAATGTCTTGGGCTGGGGTTTTGACTTGGTGGTAGCATGCTTGCCTAGCATGTGTGAGGCACTGGGTTCAATTCTCAGTACCACATACAAATAAAGATCCATCAAAATATAAAAATATTTTAAAAAAAATAAAATGTCTCAAAAAAAAGAGGAGATGTACAATTAAAAAGTATAATTCACCAAGGATATATTAAAATTTGTAAACTTATTTATCATAGCATGACTTCAAATTTTATAAAGCAAAGATGATTACAAATGTGAAGTGAATTTAAACTACAATTGCAATGGAAATATTAATATGCTGTGCCTCTGTAACAGAACATCTGACAAAGAATATAGCACATTATTTCTCCAGTTTTAATGTGCATAAGTATCGCCTGGGATCTAGTAAAAATGCAGACTGTGAGTCCATAGGCCTGGGGTGCCAGGTTCTGCATTTCCAAATAAACTTCCAGGCAACCGACAGATGCCAGTAGTTTGGGGAGCAAAGAGTAACAGATATGACTAACACAGGAACTTTGTGCCCAAAATACAGTCATTATTTCAAAGGCAAACAGCACATAGATGAAGAGGTTAGATGAAAATTTTCTTAGTTCTTCCTATTTCTATTATAATAATCTGAAATGAAATTAAATGAGCCATACATATTTGAGAAATTAAGAAAGAGAACCACAAAAATAAACTAAAAGAAATGAGGAACTAATTATTAAAAGTATTTGAATTAAAAATGAACAGCTTAGTCAGGTGTGGTGGGGCAGACCTGTAATCTCAATTACTGGAGAGGCTAAAGCAGGAGGACCACAAGTTCAAGGACTGAACAAATTACTCAGAGATCTTGTCTCAATGACAACATTAAACATCACTGATTCATTTCCCAGTTAATTAGTCACAGCTAATATTAATAGCAGTTATCATTGAAAAAGGGGATTTGAGGTATGGGACAATATCACTTTTAGTTTACAGTTTATATGCTTTTTTGCCACAAACATATTAGTTTTGTTATTTTTTTTAAAAGTCCACATAAAAGAATAAATGTGTAAAACAGTTAAGATTATTTTGAAAAATATTAATGAAGGGAACTTTCTCTACCAGATAAATAACACATCTATACATGGCACACTGCAGTGACTAATTGTAGTATGGGTATAGGAAAACAAAACCACAGTTCTGGAGAGTGTACAAATATGCCCATAAATATATCACAATTTAGAAAATAAAAGTGATATTTCAAATTGATAAGAAAAGGCCTTTAGGACAATTGGCTTTCCAAAGTGAATAAAAGATTAAAAATCTCAAGTTGAAGATTTAAATATTTTTAAAAATCAAGTACTTAGGGGCTGGGGATGTGGCTCAAGCGGTAGCGCGCTCGCCTGGCATGCATGATCCTCAGCACCACATACCAACAAAGATGTTGTGTCTGCCGAGAACTAAAAAATAAATATTAAAAATTCTCTCTCTCTCTCTCTC